ATAAAGGGGGGGGAAGAAAGAGAGGCAAACAAAGAAACAGACTCTCAACTACAGAGAACAAACTGATAGTTATCAGAGGTGAGGTGGGTGGGGGAATGGGTCAAATAGGTGATGGGGTTTAAGGAGTATACTTGTGATGAGCATTGGGTTTTGTATGGAAGTGCTGAATCACTGTATTGTACACCTGAAACTAATATTACACTGCATGTTAAATAACTGGAATTTAAATAAAAACTTTAAAAAAAGACAAAAAGGGGGAAAATACTCGAAGAGGTCAAGGTTAAGATTAGATAATCATTAATTTTCAATATGTAAATTTTGATGTTGTTATGGCATATTCACGTGGTAATGTGGATAAGAAGCTGACTATATATAGTATCTATAAAAAATAAAATTTATGTAAGTGTGAATTGCTTATTTTAGCCAACTAGAAGTTTTCTGTACTTAGTTTTTCAATAAATGAATTTTTCATGCTAAAAAAAAAGTACAAGGTGACAGGAGGTTAGGGAAAAGAAGAGCTGCATGATAGCAAAGGAAAAGCACAAAGGAAAATAAGAGATGTGAGAACAAGTATCAAGGTACATGAAAGCAAGCAGAGTCAGAAACCAAGCAGAAAGAGTAAGGAGAGAAAAAAATGTGGAAATACAAATGAGGAAAGAAAAAAAATGAAGTTAAGGAGGGATAATAAATCCAAATTTGGATGGGAATGTGAGATATGAGCCTGCCAGTGTCTTATTTTGTTGTAAAATTAAAACATTTTAAGGAAAAAAGAACAAAACAAAATAACTCATTTTTAAGTCAAAGTGGAAACCTCAATCCTGAGAGTAAACTTTTAAAATAATTAGTAAGTTTTAATAATTTATAAATAAATTTAATTAATTAAAAAATAATCTAAAGTATATAATCCTGGCTTACCCAAGATAGTCCTGGTTTAGATTTATTGTCCTGGGATAATTACTAATAGCATCCTCTTTCTCTTTTAAAAGTATTACCAAATAAGTTAAATTATATGGCCAATCTATTTATAGCCCACCATTAAGACTTTCTGCAAGGAAAAGCTAATTTGCAGTTTCTGGATGCCTGAGATTCCTGGGTTTTGTATGAACCAACAATCAAGAGCTTTAGAAGATGAGCATAAATCTTTGCTGGGCTTTCTCATCTACCAGTAAGAAAGGAGGATAATGGTGAACGGCATGGGGTCAACAAATAATTTAAGAGGTCTGATATGGTGAGATGCACTATCAAGAGGGATTAGAAATCCCTGCTCCAGTGACTTTTTACTGACATAGGAAAATAATGACAAAAAATTTATTTAAGAAATTCAAGTTGATTTTGTCCAGTTCCAAGCAATGATAACCAAGATACCTATTTTGCAAACACTGACCAAAAAGAGCCCTCCTTGATATACTAGGTAATTGCTAAATGAAGCAAATATCAAAACCTGCTAAGAAAACTTTACTTCTCTCAAAGCCAAGTAATACTAACTCTTAAGATGGAAGTGGAAAAGATATATATACTCATTAACATAAAGGCTTTATTTTGATCTAAGTTTAAAAATATGCCTTTACCTACCCAATTAGAAGGAAGGTAATATGTACTCATTTCTTTGTAATAGAGAATAATTCACCTCAGAACACAAGGCTGGAAAAACTGCAGGGAAATAATTAAATTTTCATTAAAAAACCATCGGAAATACTTTCTTAGGCTGGATTTAGGTACAAATATGGGAGACAAGGAGTAAACCATTAAGGAACACTATTGTTTAGTGGTTGCCACAGACTAATAATCCTAAAATTCAGGTGGCAACTATACCAGTGGTCCTCAATGTTAACGCAGGCAAACTACCAAAATCAAGGTATTTATCATTCACTTTCTGGGAGATACCAAAATCTTTTCTGTTCATACTAAATGGGACAAATGAATGATATTCTCCAAATAGAATAAAACAGGGTATAATAAAATAAGCACTTTGGTCCACTGACTTATCTGGTTATCTGGGGATTTCAAACAAAACAGTGTTCCGCTTCATACTTAACTCTAATTCCTGGTAAAAGTGATCTTTCAAGACCATTTAGTTTAACATATTTAATTCACAGATAAGGAAATTAAGGCACAATAAAGATCAGGGACTTGCCCAAAGTAAAGCTACTCAATAGCAGAGCTAGGCCTGGAACCCAATTTCAATACCCAATCAAGACACCACTATCTTGAATAAATGCCTCATTGTCAGAGAATAACTAACTGCTTCTTCAAGGGTCTATAAACTCAATTCTTCGTCCTGAAGAAGCCATTTGTTCTCTGCCATTTCTCAGTAAGACAATATAATCAGAGCCATCAGCCTGAGCTCTGGCTATATCCAAATAAGACAATAATCTACTCAGAACCAGCTATTCTCTCATTTCAAACATCACTGTTAAATATATTTCTAAAATGTATCTGCATTAGTACACTTCTAAATACTTTTGTTTCTGTCTGTCTACAAATCATCCAAAGTCATGAGAGGAAATATCCAGGTCTAAAAAGGGAGGTCAAATCCAGGCTTATTAGGGTTCAAAAGATCAACGTTGAATCAGTGGCATATGGTGAGTCCTAAGCCTAGAAAGTCAGAATCTGGCATTAGCCATACAAAGGAAGTTACTGGAAATCAGGCACTCATAATATCCAGAGAAGTGATTCCTAATAGAGAAAATGGACTAAAATGCCCATCTTTTGCTAGATGATTCCAAAGAACTGCTAAGGCACATGGACATTTAAAGAAGTAATGCACTCTTAAGCAGGTCACGAGTTTTTTTATACATGTCTTATTAATGTGTCAGATGATATGGTCATGACTTTTTTAAAAGAAGCAAACTGCAGTTATTTTAGGCGACCCTGGCACAACTCATCCCAATATCGGGTATGCAGATGATCAGTATCATATACTTGAATAAAGTATAAAGCAGCTGAAAAATCCAACATTTCCAAAGATAAAGGGCTGAAATTTGCTCTTGTGGAGAGTCAAGTTTAACAAATAGCATGAAATGAATACCATCTTCCATTTCTTTTTTTTTTTATTTTTTTTTATTCTTATGTTAATCCCCATACATTACATCATTAGTTTTAGATGAAGTGTTCCATGATTCATTG